ATGGACCAGCTTCTGGAGAATATTTCTCTGAGAAAGTTCCTCAGAGCAAGGGTTTCTACAGACACCCACTTCGTGCTTGGGCCTGGTCAGTGTGGACGGCCAGCAGGGTCGGGGTGGGTGGGGGTTGGGTGGGACTAATCTATGCACTTGAACTCTACCTAGGCAACCTGAAGGCCTCTCTCCTGACCTGCCCCAGGGCTGCAGGCCGTGCCTATCACTTGCAGCATCTGGCGCTCCCTAAAGACTAGTCAGACCCCAGCTCTTCTTAGACCCAGGATGGTTCCCAGGCTCACGGCTCAAAGCCCTATGATAGAGGAGGTGGTGCTGGCCACAACCTAGACAAACCAACCCTGACCCAGTTAGAGGGATCAAATGGCACTACACGGCCTGTGGTGTATAGACCAGCCCCAGGTCCCGTGCACGGCAGGCCCCTATCCTTGTCCTCCTCTTCCTCCAAGGGCACAGCGCAGCAGAAAGGGAACTCCCGAGTCAGGAGTTCTGGGCACCCACCCAGAGCTGGCTGAGACTCTCCCTGTGACTTGCCAGTGACAGCACCTCTGGCTCTAGCTGCTTCATGTGTCATACAGCAGAGCCAGACTCCGAGTTGGCTCAAGTCCCGTGCAGGATCAGGGATTTGAAAAGAGAAACAAAACACTGAGCATACCTCCATCCCAGATCCTCGTCCCAAGAGACCCCTTCAACACTTGCTCAGAATGATGGGGTGGTATTTCTGACCCTGAATATCAGGAAGATGCGGGAATATAGGTGCCTCCCCAAGACAGTAATCCCCACCTCACAGGGCCACACAAGGACCTCGCCTCCAATAAACCAGGTTTTCATTCCAACAGACCCTGTTTACTAGAAATGCTATGGCTGTCTCCCAACCTTATACTAGACCCGAGAAATCCCCGCCACCAGTGACAAGCATCACCCTGTTAATGTCACTTGTGTGCAGTGGTGATGCTGGTGGGAACGCCTGCCTCACTGCCAGCCATGTGAAACAGCACAGCACACACCATCATGTGTGGTGTAGAATAGCTGACTAAATCCTTGGCCCATGGAATCTACTTAACTGTACTTTTAATGTTATTTCACAGTGTACTTAACGTCTCAATTTTACTGTAAAGCATTCTGCCATGTTGTGTATGCTCACACAATGCCTGTTTACAGTCTCTGAACTGCACGATGTGGCCCTGTGCAGGGGCTGACCAGACCACCAAAGCCTGTATTCCTGCACTGGGTGGTGATTTAAGAGGCTCACCATTCTCAGATGGCCCTGACATTGAGAAACCAGTGTGTGTGTGTGTGTGTGTGTGTGTGTGTGTGTGTGTGTGTGTGTAAAAGCTGCCCTAAGCTCAGCTGAAGCAAACTGGCAGGCTTTCTTCTTCACTTCCAAACATGCCCCAAAGTTACCACTACTTTCTGGCAGTGTCTACACAGATCAGTGCTCAGGGACTACACAGCTGGAGAAGCAAAGGAGACTGCAGCTGACCAATCCCTACTCTCCCCAACCAAGGCCAGCACCACAACACAGCTCTTGACCCGTGCCACTCCCAGATTAATGAGATCTTAGCCTAATTCACCTGCTCCATGCCCTTTTTCTCACAGCTGATACCACGTGGGCACAGTGATGGAGGTGGTTCTCTAGAGTTACCAACCTTGGACACATTTTCCGACCAACCGGAGGCTCCCTCTGAGAACACACTTCCTTGGAGCCTGCGCCCTGATGTTGCTGACTTTGGCTGTGGGTAGGAAGGGACTGTCCGTTGGTACCTTAGAGTGTTCCTAGGGACTTCAATGACACTGTGAAGTACGGTGAGACAGTTCCCGCTCCAGGGTCACAAGGTTGTATAACCTGACGGCCCAGGTGAAGACACCTCTAGGGGCAAGCATAGGCTCATCTGAGGCTCAGGAGGACATGAAGACCGTCCCTCAAAAGCTGACAACAGGAATGAGCTGTGCAGACCCTGAACCCCGGCGTGGTACACAGAAACTGCCTATTCCGATGCTTGTTTGCAGCAGATCAGACCACAGGCCCTTTAGACCGAGATTTGATGGATGCTGCACTCATCACAGCCTTCCCAAGGGGCCTTCCTCCCTCTGCCCTCACCCTTCCTCCGTGAACTGTCCACCAATGAGGCATTTACACAGACACCCTTTGCCATTGTGCCGTTCTGCTCCGAGCAAGGCAGGCCCTCTTAAAGACAGACCCAAGGTCGCCTTCTCCATCCCACAACTCCTCGTGTTTCCAGCCAAGAGGAGAGCTAGGAACTGGGGAGCCTTTTCACTCTTCAACTGCCCTGTAGTGGACTGGGGGAGCTGGGATCTCTGGACCGATCCAAAAGTAAACACCGACTCTTACCACCTGGGTGCAGGGGTTTTAGATAATGGATGACCCGACTCTTACCACCCGGGCGTGGGGTTTTAGATGACAGACAAGGAGGCGAGAAAGGGATTCACTGGGGGAGTAACCTCATCTTCAGACGGAAAGAAGCACACTGCTGACTTCAGTTGACAAGCTATGAGCAGACGTGAGCACTGAGGACCCAAGTGTGTCCGCTAACACCTACTCTCTGAGGGCCAGCCCACAGTTCTCACCTGAGGTAAGCCACTGCTACCTAGATTTGCTCTCCTGCTCTCCCTCCTCTCCTCAGCTCTCTGAAGCCAGGGCTGGTTCTCAACTCTCCCCCGTGACAGGATATTTGGTCACACTATGGAAAAGGTGCCTTCTGATTGGTTTAAAGGGCTGAATGGCCCATAGAGCTGACTGGCCTATAGCTAAGGAAGAGAGGCTAGGCAGGACTTCTGGGGGAGAGAGGAACTGGAGATGAATCTAGGTGCTCGAGAGATGCCAGTGAGACACTGAGGGTGTCAGACAAACAGCAGGGAGGAGAGGTAGAGAATCACGTGGCAGAATGCAGATGAATAGAAATGGGTTAATTTACATTATAAGAGCTCGTTGGGAACAAGCCTAAACTAAAGGCCAAGCTTTATAATTAACAAGAAGTCTCTATGTCATCATGTGGGGGCTGGCAGTCCAAGAAAGTCCAAACGCACGTCCGACTCCACTCCCCTCTCTTTCAGAAAGCCTTTGCAGACAGTTCCAAATGGTGTCTACCGCACCAGAAGAACTCTGACCTAGCAGAAGGTGGGAAGCCTATAGGGAGACTCGCAGACGCAGAGACACTGAGGTCCTCAAGCCCTTCCTGCTTCCTGCAGATGACAGCTGCTAGGTATTAATCCACCCTCCATGACACCCAAGAAAATGGAGGTGTGACATGTCTTCAGAGGTGATGTGGAAGGCCTGCCAGGCCTCAGAGTGTGGTGTTCCAGTGACTGAGAATGTAGACAGCCCCAGTTCAGGACCCCCTCGCAATAACCCGTGGCCTTAGCAAGGTGCAGGATTTCCTTGCACCTCTTTCTTCATCTAGGAAGCAGGAGTGATTACAAACAGCCTGTGCCCGTAGTGGTCTCCCGCTGCTCCTGGCTCACCTGCTGTCCCATGCCCACCCATCCCTCAGACTGGTTTTCATAGCGTTAGCTTCTCACCAGAACCTCCTGGGAGCTATTGAATGTCATGTAATTATGTCAAGCCAAGATTCTGGTTTAATCTGGACTGTGGCTTGGCAATGCTCTCTTCAGAGATTCCCTGGTGGGTGGGTATTCCAAGCTACTCGAGCCTTTCCTGCTCCTCCTGGCCCTCACCTCTCTTCTCCAGAGAAGCCCCTCCCACCACCACTCTCCCCTTCTTGTATCAGTGCCTTCAGAGAAGAACACCCTATGGGCAAGCCTGTCTTATCAACTCCTTTGACCCGGTGTACAAGTGAGGAGTGTAATTACACTGTGCACAGCCTCATGCAGTAGGCCTTCACCTCTCTTTCCTCCCCTCCTGAAAGTGGCCATTTGGGACAATGGCTCCAGGTCAGGAGGCAGGCCACATGGGGTCGACCCAATGCTAAGGTAGACAGGCACTGGATAGCTAGTATCTTCAGAACCCACTTTCCCAGCCATGCAAAGAAGCCACTAGATCAGAGATTCTTCACACAGGCTTTTGGTTTCCTACCACTGTGTACCTATCTGTCCCCCTTCCTCAGTTTCGCTACTTGCTGTGGGCTAGAGTCCACTTTCTGGTCTGGCAGCAAAGCAGACATGCCCTGCTGGAAGGACCTCCCCCCGTCAGTCTTAGCAAGAAAGTCTCTGCCATAGAGCTGGTTGGCAGAAATTCTGTTAACTGGGCTGAAGCTTAATAAAGTCTTCAAGCAGATTGTTCTCAGAAGAGCTAGGTGAGTCCAGAGAGAAAGGCGCACCTCTTGGGATGTCGTGGAGCCCCACCCTCAGGCAGATTCAGCCTGCTCTGCAGGAGAGGAGCAGGGGTAAAGCATGACATCTCCGAGATGCCCACCCAACCTCCCCTACACCTGTAGGGGGAACTGGAAGAAGACCCCTGGGTCTTACCAGGAGCTGTCTCCCTCAGGACATGAACTGCTAGGAGGCATTTTTTTTTTAATCTTTGGGATCATTTGAGGGATCAGGCTAAAGTAATATGTGGCCACATCCATTGAACGGTATAGGAGCTCCACATAACCAAAGCCCTGGGCTTGGCTCCTGCTTTCCACCCTGGCTTCTGCTGGACCCATCAGATAGGAAGTGACCCCACGCCCTTACCTCCAGCTGGCCAGATGCTCTATAGCCCAACCACACAGCCGTCACAGCTGTGCTCCTGCTGCCACTGGTCCCAGGTGGCCTCTGAACCAGCTTGTGGGCAGCTGCTATCCAGACCAGGCCCAAGAGAAAACGGTGGCTGCTTGAAGCTACCCAGAAGAGCCCATCCCAAGACGGTCACAAGGAGAGCCACCCAGTGTCACTGACAAGGGCAGATGTAGAATACCATGGCCTCAGAAGGTGTTCTGAAGACTCCAGAGTTTCACACCCTCCCACCCCTTCTACAAAGCTAGCCTACACATGCCCACGACACCAGGACTGTCTGCCTCCTCACTCACCTGGGGAAGACTCATTTAGGCCCATCAGGTCATTGGCCCTCTGGATCCTCTCCAGGCACATGGCTTGCTCCTTCTTGAAGATGCAATCAGAGTGCATGGCAATCACCTGTAGGACAAGAGGAACAGACAAGAGAGCAGGGAGCTCCAATGACACCCCTCTGCTTTAACTTAAAAGTAAAGTGTTAAAAAGGAGGAGGGTGACAGACCTCAGACCAGCAGGGGCACCAACATCTGCTTTGTCACAGATGCTGTGAGGGCTCTCCCCAGACCCCAACTCAATGTGTGGGACCCACAGGCTCCTGAGCCTTAGTGTGTGTGGATGCATGCTAGATAAACACTGCAGAGGGATGGGTTTGGGTTTCATCATTTTTCTGTTGCAGATGTGTACTAAGTAGAGATGTTATTCAACTTGTTCCAAGACACACCGTCAGGTAGCAGGGTTTGAGTCTTATACTCTGGCTCCTGCTGCACTTTAGGGGAAGATGGGAGCTGGTAAACTGAGAGCTATAGGAGCAAGTCTTCCTCAGCAGACAAAGGGGTAATGGCAGGATTCAGGGCTCTCAGCACTCTCTTTCAAAGGAGGAAAGACAGGCTCAGAGGGAGTATGGTGCAAAGCCCCTCTCAGTTCCCACAGCAGGAACTTTACAGCCATACCCTGTTAGCATGATAGATGGCCAAGTTCATGTCCATCAATCCTCACATCAGAAATTATTCCCGTGGCAAAGATCTGAGCTCCCAAAGGCCATGTCCCAAGACAGATCCAACCCCAGCTGCTCACAGAGAGAGGAATGTGTCCATCCTGTCACATAGGGAGATACAGATCAGGATGCTAGGGACCTGGGACTCTAAGGACAGTCTTGTCCTGGCCCAAATGGAACTCTCCTCCTGTCCTTACCTTCACCCTTGCTCTAGAGATATCTGAGCAGAGGACAGGGCCCTGAGTTTAGATGTCAGAGGGTCTCATGGGATGGGGACCAGAAGACAATTCTGTGGCCCTAACCTGCACACCGTGGAGCTATCCAGATTCTATGCAGCTCTAAATGCCGCCACACATGTCACCATCTTAATAGACCTGTAAGTTCTGTGACAACTTCCAGTCCAATCAACACCAGTCTTGAGGAAAACCATTTATTTAATTCACACCACAGAAGCGTGAGTGGTACAGTGTATGTGTGTATGTGCGTGTGTGGGGGGTGAGTGTTGGCAGAAATTAACAGACGTGACAGCCTAGGGGACGCCTTGGCTGAGAGAACACAGAAATAACTGGTTCTCCAGGTGGAGACTGGGTACCCCTGTGGAGGGAGACGCGGGGCCCTTACCACAGGCAGGAGGAGGAGAGCAGTCAGGGAGCACCGCAGGGCTCTGGCCATGGTGCTTCTGGCCGGGCCTCGGCTCTGGCTGCTGCTCCCAGCAGTGGAGAATCAGCACCACTGTCCACAGGCTAAAGGGAAGGAAAGACAGCACAAGGTGTCAACAGCAGTGGGTTCCCAGTCCAGGCTTCCAGACCTGGTAAATCCTCAGGGCCTGAATTCCTTCTCTTTCACCTTTCTGTCCTACCAACATGAGTTGAGCACCATTTGCATGAGCCCACAGTAGGGCACCACATGCGGGTACATGCCAGCTCAGCCACTAGGCTACTGGAACCCTCTAGGGCAGCGTATTCCTCTGCAGTAGACCAGCTGTCTCCACGTCTCAACATTCTCTGCTTCCACTTGGAACAGCATTTTAGCTGGCATATGCATGCCCACCTAGCTGTGACATTTACCAGGCTCCCTTGTTCTCAGGCACAAGCGTGAGCCTCTTGTGCAGGGCACACATGCTCCCAGCTCCTTCTCTTTCCCTTCTAAGTGAGGGCCACCTCTTCAAGGGGAGGTGGAATGATATCCCAGCAGTTGGAGAATGACGCTGGAATCGAAGCCAGGATCACGGTGCAGTCTGTGGCATCAAAACACCATTCCAGGTTGTATGGCCTAGCCAACTCCAAACAGTTCTGGTATGCAGCAATAAACTTCTAGAGCACCTGCTCACTCTGAGAGGACCTCTTTGCTCCCACTGCATCCTTGGGACAAGTACATTCCCCTTTCATCCTGTCCTTAGTGACGGCTAAGGGGTATGCTCACATCCTACTGCTGCTGGCCCTCAAGGACAGGTGTGTGAGGACCAGCACCGCAGAAGGGATCAGAAAAGCTACAGATAACTGAGGAAACTGGGGGAACTGCGCGCACAGATCATCGAAGCCTGTTCTGCTTCTACAATTGACCATTGGTGGAAATGCTTTGCCATTCGGTTCTTAGGAATGTTTGCCCTTGGATCGAAAGCAACACATGCGAGGCTACTCGCTGCAGCAGCATCACACTGGCCCTGCCAAGCAGAGCACTGTCATCCCTTCAGAGCGATGCTGGTTATGACTACATTGCTGTGGGAAGGATTATTAAGTAGCCCTGTCAGAGCAGGGCTAACACAGAGGGGCTTCACTCTGGAGGCCCGAGGAGCTGAAACAAGCCTGCCCCCTGTACCCACATGTCCTGTGTGCCCAGATTTTGTCACTGATGCCTCTGTGCCTCTGGTGTGTGGTCTTAACATCCTCGTTCAACCCTTTTGGCTCCATGAGGTGATAAACAAATACCCAAAATGAGAAATGAAAAGCAGCGATAGGAAGATGAAGAGAGGAGAATGTCCCTCCCCAGTCTTCAGCTCACTCAGAGATGCTAAGGAGGCCTCAGACAGCTGATAAGACTGGGAGAAAGGGGCAAGTAGGGCTGGGTGGGCTGGGAGGAAGCTGGGAACAGTCATAGGTCATGCACCTAGGCTTGAGTTCCTATTCCTCACCCAAGGCTCTTTACCCTCCTCATAGCTGCAGGCAGCCTTGGTTGTGGTAGCGATGGCTCCCCCAAAGGCTGTGGTCACCTCTACCAGTCTGAGATCCCAGACTCTGCCTGCAGAAATGACTTCAGGCTTGATTAGGATAGAGGAATATCTAGTTCTGGGTACCTCAGCAGGAGTGAGAAGCCATCATTCCCAGCTACTCCAGGACAGAAAATCCACGAAGAACAGAATGTCATCTGAGCTCAGAGCTGACTCTCTTTCACCTTGAGTAATCGCAAGATGAAGACTCCAAAAACAGAGCTGTGGTCCCCAGGGAAACATTTTAGGAGCACACTGTCCCCAGATATACCTACCTCCTCTCCATCCCAGAATCCTTGCAGCCTAGTGCAGCCTGGGGCCAGCTGCCAGGCTGGCCCTCCAATTGAGTTGTGGAGACAGGCTTAAAGGGGTTCTGCATCAGTCCTTGTGAGAGGACAAAGAGAGCTGCAGCCCTAAGGTCCTCTCTGGTGGAGGGAACGTAACGGCAGAGAGCCAGGGGGTGGGCACTGGTATTCTATCCTTTCCCTCTCCTTGTCTCTCCACTCCCCTCTCTGAAGCAAATGAGCATAAGACCATGTCATGTCCACAGACACTAGCCCACCCTTACCCACAGGGTTTCCACCATCTGTGACAACACCTCCCCTCATAAGTCCCTTTATGGAGACCCAGAGCAATGTACAGAAGACACAACTGTGAGGAAACTACTAGCTCACAGACACATCGAGGTCACACGAATTCTAATTGGTCTTAATAATAAAAAGACAGAGTCAAATAAAAGCTGAAAGATCAGAGAAGCAGAGCAGCCTGTCACTAGTTCTTACCTCTATAAAATCCTCAGAACCAAGGGGGCAAGATCCTGTCTCTCTGAATCCTCAGGCTAAATACTGTGAGCTCCTGTCTCCTCCCACCTTATAGTCCTCTCTCCACCCATCCATATCCCTTCCTGTCTCCTCGGTGCTGGGATTAAAGGCTTGTGACTCCCAAGTACTGGGATTAAAGGTGTGAGCCACCACCACCTGGCTCTGTTTCTCTTTGTGACTGAATCAATCTACTCTAACCCAGGGTGGCCTTGAACTCACAAAGATCTGTCTGCCTCTGCCTCCCAAGTGCTGGGATTAAAGGTGTGTGCCACCACTGCCTGGACTATATGGCTAGCTCCTGCACTCTGATCTTCAGGCAAACTTAATCTGTTAAAGCACACACTAAATATCACCTCACATCACCCTCCTGCGGATATGGACGGGGATCCTTGGTTCTGTGAGCAGCCTCCCAGACAAATCACAATCCAGGGAGAAATCCATAGATCTGACACAGGAGCCATGAGGGCACACAGGTAAGTATCTTCCCTTGGAGCAACCACTAAGCTACAGCTAGGGTCCTGGGTTACCATTGCTGCTCCACCTGATCCGCACCACAGAGGGCTCGGGGCCTGGCTTCTCCTCCTGACTCTGGAGACTTCCAGTGCATCCCGACTGTTCCCACTCTTTCCTGGTAGCACCTAGCACACGGTTTCCACAGTGTTCTGTGGGGACCAGACACAGTCCTCCACAGGCCGCCCTCCCACGTGTCCCCTGGATCTGGCACACCAGTCTGTTGCCTCTGCCTCAAAACTCCTTGGAGATGCAAGTGTGCCCGTCTTGGAATGAGCCAGGCCACCGCAGGTCTAAAAGACACCCCTAGCTTGAGGAGGGATATCAGGCCCTTTGACTGGGCCACCGTGCATGCCCTCCCCACCCCAGTGCTTCCTGGGCTCCTAATAGTGCTAGGCAGGTGGCTCTGAGAACAGGGAAGAGAAGTGGGAGGTTCCCCCGGGAGATTTTAGTCTTGACCTCAGGCAAAGTACTTAAGCTTCCTGCTTAGCCTCTACACGTTGTCTGCAGAGTGGGAATGACAACCATGCCTGTGGCAGCGGCAGCTTCAGGGATGTGCCACAGACTGGCATCTGCGAGGTGTCTCCCACTCCGTGTTCCTGATTCTCGTGTCATTGTGCCGTCACCTCCGCCCTGTGTCACATTCACTGGGAACAGCAGGCTGGCTGCACTCTATCTCCTAATGGCCAGTCCTTTCTGAGTACTCCCAGTGTGCTGGGCGCGCTTCCAAGTTATACCCGTCAACTCCTGCAACCTGACGGACACTCATGAAGTGGCTCCTGGCATTATCCTCATTCTATAGTGTAGGTGACAGGGGTACAGAGAGACTATGCAACTTCTCCAAGGTCACACAGGAAGTACCCCACAGAGCTAGAAGTGGTTCCAAAACATATGTCCCTTGGCTTCTGAACTATCACTTGTAAAGGAGCCTGCTGCAGCCTCTGGTCACTTTTCACCTGCCCAGAGCTATGTAGATCCTCTACCACTGGCTGCCATTTGCCTCTGCAGATGCACCCCTTGCCTGTACCTGTCTCCCTATTCAGAAAGAGCCACTCTGAACAGAACATTTCAGTCCTGCCTGAGATCAACTTGAAAAGCCACCTCATCGTGGAGAAGTTGAGACCAGAGCAGGGAGGTGTTTCCCAACGTTACAGGGCATAGAGCCTAGAGGTGTGACTGACAGAAATAGGATGTGGACAGAACTTGAGGGGGTCTAGGAAACCCCAGAACATCCCCCACCCCTCCAGCCACCCTCCCTAGGCCCCAGCAGTGCCTAACTGAGCTGAGCAGGAACTGACAGCAGCAGCCGCATCACCAGTCAGCACACTGGAGAATTGGTGACTCACGGACCTCGAGACTTTCCTCGTCAGAAGAAGAAGGGGGGATCTGCAGACCCTTCAGCTCACTGCACCAAAACCAGCAGAGGCCATCTGCCATGCTCAGCAGGGGCATGGTTTCTGCCGTAGCCCACTTACTCCTCCCACAGCTGGTCCTGGCTCTCAGTTGGAATCTGGTGTCTCTCTGCATCCTTCCTTATTCTGAACTACTCTGCCCCATGAAGCCCCTACAGGGATGGACATGAGGACAGCACTGTTCCATCTCTAGCCCCTCATACAGGCTCATACAGGCTTGGGTTCCACACACACCCGGCAGCAGAGTCACCTCCAGGGCAAGACATCAGGTGGTGGGGAGGAGGTTAGGGGAGACTGGAGCCAGTCTAGCAGCTAGGAACACGGAGGGCTGTATCAGGAAATGGGGTGTCCCTGAGGTGGGGAGAGATGATTGCACCCCACCAAGGGAAGAGATTTTCCCCACCACTGAGCAGAGGCAACCACAGGGCCCTTTAGGATCAGGACCAGGCTGATGGAAGGCAGATCGAATGCTGAGGTATGGAGCAATATGACAGCAAAGAATCCCTGGAAGATGTGGCAGGAAGGAAAGGTCCTTGGAGGACAGCAGGACTTGAGTGAAGCAGAGGGGAGGGTGAGCTGGCTGCCCCAGCCCTAGGTTCCCAGAGAAGAGGTTCCAAAGTGTGCGGTGGCTGCCAGTGCCCTCAGCCAGTACGCCACATGCCCATCTGCCAGGGAGAAGGTGGAAAGAGCCAGGTGCTACTCAGGGTCTGACGAGATCTGGGAGGAGAGAGGCCACTCCACCTTGGGAGCGCCACCTCCTGAAAGCCCACCCTCCGGTCCCCAGCTCTGAACAGAGATCCCCTCCCTCCTGCCTGGACTGTTGAGGTCTTGCCAAGTTTACTGCGAGATCCAAGGTGAGGTTTTGTGTTGGCTTCTCCCTCATAAGAGAAACAGGAGGAGGGGCTTAGGATCTACACGGCATGCTCAGACAACATCAGAAGTATTTAGTGTGTGCTGTCTCCCAGCTATACTATGGGGGTGGGGTGTCGCCTGAGCACAGTGGAAGCCTCCCCAAGGACTGACAAACAGATGCCTCTGGGAGACGAAGGGGAGCAGCTAAGTTCTCAGGCATCTTGAGCTCCCAGGCCAGACCTCCCCTTTCTTCAATCTCTTGGACCCTCTCTTGCCTCTAACCGTTCAGCCCAGCAGCTAGGGAGCCTTCTAGTCCATCAGATTCACTTCATGCCCCAGTATTGAACAGCCAGAGAGTCAAGTACGGTTTCTAAATGGTACATTTTTAAATGGCCAGAAAATTAAAAGAATTGAATTTCATGGAATACAAACTGCCTGAAATTAAAGTTTACCAAAACATAGTCCTTTAGTTGCTGTTTTTTTTTTCTGTTCATATGTCTCCTGCAGTTGCTTCCAAGCTAACGCAGCAAGATAAAGTCACTGCAACCAATCACGATGGTCACAGAGTCTAAAATATTTACTAGATTTACAGGGTGGAAAAAGCTACATACCATGTTCTAGGCTCCTGCAATACAGTGTACAAACACCACACACACACACACACACACACACACACACACACATGCGCGCGCGCACCTGGGCCTTCATTAAAGTTGTCTTTTATGACCCAGTGTTCCCATATCTTATGTGAGGATGATTCTGTTAATGCCTACCTCTGCTTCATCCCAGATCCCAGGCAGGTATCATGGGAAGCCTACATGCCTCCCCAGCTGTGTGTCACTCCTCTGTGTGTCAGTGTGGGGGTGGTTTTCATTGTGTGCTTCTGACGGCATCCAGAGCTCAGTACAAACACATCACAGCTAAGGGTTTTCCTGCCTCCGTGTTGCCAGGCAGCTGGGCCATGAGGTCCAATCCGTTCAGGCACAGAAGCCCGATTCCTTCTATTCAGAAGTGACAGGCAGCTTCTGAGGCCTCCAGGCCTTCTGGGGTAAAAAGCCCCGATGTCCCCTATCTGGAGCATCACAGCTCTGCGACACACATCCTCTGCTCGTCCTATTTCCCTCAGGGTCCTCTCTAAGAGGAGTGGCTCACAGGCGAGCATGGTGTTCTGGTCCTAAACGAAGTTCTCACACTGCGTTGAGCACCCTGGGCCCTGCCATTTGGCAGGCAGCACAGGGCCCTTCACTTACTCACTTACTCAATGCCATTCATTCCTAGGCAATGAAATCCATCCCTGCTTGGCCCCCTTCTCAGTGATAAAGCCACCTTGTGGCCCTCTCTGCTGTCCTTTCTAGAATCTCACCTGTATACTGATCTATAAACATGCACTGAGTAATCCCTCCATTCAATACAAATGGAGTCCAAAGGTAGAAGCATGGCAGAGAGGTGACCATATAAAAACAAAACAAAACAAAGCAAAAACCAAGGGCTCCAAAGTGCTTCACCATTCAGCCCCCCTGCCAGCCTGAAGCATTCACAAAACAGGATGTGAACACAGCCTTTAGCCTGGCTCCATCTCTGAGTGCAGGAAAAGGTCCTCCTCCTACAGGCTCAGCACACACACATCCCTCACTACACAGAGTCAAGGAGACCCTCGGGGATCTCAGGACAGATACCCTACCACCCTTGAGTCTCCCCCGACGGCATAAAGCAGGGGGAACCAGCTCTGACTCCTGGTCACACCACACACACTTGTTGAGGGACTGGTCAGGAGACCTGGCTCACGGCCGCCTCCAGCATGTCCTGTCTTTAATTTGTGTGTTCAGATTTTGGCTTGCATCCAGACTGGGGCCTTTGCCTGTTCTCTCCAAGGTCGGTGAGGAGCAGGAATCCTAGGTCCCCCTGCTTGGGAATGGGACCTGCTCCAGCCTCAGCTGCCCACCACCCCAAATGCATCCCAGGACCTCCCCCACAAACCTAGAGCTACCTGCTATTCCTGGGCCCCAAAAGATTCGCTCATAGTAACCCATCCTCTTTTCATGCCCATAGCCACCCTCCAGCCTCCAGCTTGACCTTCAGAATGGCCTACCTCAGTCCAACTGCAGTCCACCCCCAGCCCCCCCATGCTCTGTGTGGGATCTAAACTCCCACATACCCTCACAGGAATGCACCTGAGCTACCACAGAAAAATCGCAACAGAGGCCTGTTTCTCTTTTTGTTTGGGGAGTGAGGGATTATGGGACATATAGCTTGAAGTAAAGAAAAGTAGCCACACGCACACATACCAGTCCCGAAATGGGTTGAAGAATTACCAAAATCCACTCTCAGGTCAAGATGTTCCAGAAGGCTCTGAGTTCCTTCTAGACTTGATGCCCCACTCCCTAGCAGCAAATGAAATGCCATCACCATCCCCTTCCTGCATGCTTCCTCCTAAAGATCTAATTCCATGCTCTGGTGCCTGGTCTCTCCGACCCCCAAACCTGCCATGATCTTGCAGATGATCTGGTCCTGCTCCCAGCAACTAACTACTGCGGGCCTTTAAAACAGTCAGCAGGGGTCTCAGGAGGGCCCACTCCAGCAGCGATTTTCTCCCATAGGCCCTGCAGGGCGTTTCCTTGTTAGACCACCAAAGCCCAAGCATCTCTCATTCGAACTCTCTGCGCCGCGGGAAAAACTGGAGGACTATCCTTTTTTAAACAATCCTAAAAATTATCTCCCTTGGGGAACAAACTGAACTGGTTCCTACCCTACCTCTATCCCCAGCACATAGCTTGCCCACCCCTCAAGCACCCCGCAGACTGTGGAACGGAGTCCCCCAAAGGACTCTCCGGTGCCTAGCTTCCAAATCCACCTAGGCGCTTTGGTCCGCCCTGGAGACAGGGAAATAGATCTCTTGGGGTCCCTCTGGCAGCAGTGTCATCCCTGTCCCTGCATGTCCTTTTCTGGCACCAGAAAAGACTGAGAGTGCTAGGCCAATCACCACTCAGTGATCTAAAGGAATGGTGGCCTCACGCCACCGTCCCAGACACTTAGATGGGGCAGAGAGAAGCGTAGGCAGCCCACAGCAGCAAGAGAGACTGGGCTCCAGCGCTGTGCCCGGTGCTGGCCCTCGCCGGCTCTGGGTCGGCAGAGCACGCGGCTCCAAGAGACTCTGGGCTGGAGGAGGGTGTCCTAGGGCCCCGCCAGAGAAGGGTCTGGAGCTGGACGCGTGCTGCGGGGCGGAGGGACAGGCCGGGGGTAGCCCTTACCTGCTGGTCCCAGGGTCGTGCCGGCTGCAGGGTGCCGGGACGGAAGGTGCAGGAGGGCAGGAGGGCGTGTAGCCCGCGAATCCGTGCCCGCCCGGAGCTGCACTGGCTAGAGCGAGTGAGCCGCGGAGCGCGCGCTGAGCCTGGTCTCTGAGTGCTTGTGGCCGCGGGCAGCTGGGTCTGTGTGTTCCTGCGCCGCGGCGTGTGCGTATGTGCACACGGGGACCACGCTGGTCCAGAGCGGCCGTCAGTCACTGCCGGGGATGGGAGCCAGGAGTCCCTCGTCTGCCTTCGCCCGACCCGCTTAGCGCGGCCAGCTCTGTCCTGCGGGAGAGGCGCCGCCTCTGCTGCGCAGCCAGGCCCGGAGCTGAGGGGGGCGACAGACCACCGCCTCCCCAGAGGGCGGGGGGGGGGGGGGGGGGGGGGGGGTGCTGGCCAATGAGCGCCTGGGGGCGGGGTTAGACCCCGGGCAGAGATGGGGAGCAGGATGAGGACCACCGCACTGACAGCCGGAGCTGCGGCAGAGACTCAGGGCGCGGAGGCGGAGGTAACAGCCCCCCTTTCCCAGTTCTGTCGCAGAGCTTCCGGGCTGAATTGAGCCTTCCTCTGGACTCTCCACCTTTCTGTCCAACCGCAAAACATCCAAGAGAGAAAGCCCTCTCTCTCCCTTCCCTCACTGTGTTCCAAGCCTCCTCTGGCAACCTTGCCCCCTGAGCAAGTCCCAGGCCCTCTTTGGGCCTTTCTCGGCCCACAATTCAGATCTGCAAGGATTGGATTGCAAGTGCCTATCTGGACGTCCTCAAATGTGACACTCTGGAGAACACCTCTATAGCCAGTATAGGAATGATGGTGCTAATAGGAGGTCTCTTAAAATAATTGATACTGCCCTGCCAGCGCTGTGAGTTTGGGCATGTGGCCTGACATTTCTGACTTTACCTGCACTATAGAATCGTAGTTCCTATTTCTGTAGTCTTGAGGACAGCCTTAAGTAAAGACAGTCTATGTGCCCGTAGTAGACTGGTTCTAGCCTTTTATAATCTCTGATGCTGAATGAATCCCTATTGTTCTTGGTGACATGGTCTGCTCAGCCTTCTCCTGGTACAATTTGGTAAGTGGAGGCTTAATGAGTAGAACTCAGCAGGTTAAGATCTCATAGCCAACTGGCCTGCCATGCCTGGTTGGTTGTTCCTGTCCCCAGTCAGAGCTTCCCGTGAGTTCTCTGCATCTCTATCACTCAGCTCTCAAACAGGCCAGTCATTGCCCATCCAGGTAAGTTCTGGGCCACCCTCCCTATGGGTCCAGTCACTGGGGTACAGAGTGCCTTCTGAGGAATCCCCAAGGAGGAAGAGGAAAGGAGAAAGGACTTGAGCCTCTCTTTGGCAAGGTTAGTCAAGCAGAAGATAAAAGGTCTGGGAGGTAAGAGAATCACAGTATAGGTGGGAGCCATACAGAACCCTAACACACGAGACCTGACCATTTTACACCCCACTTCACAAATATAAATAATAAGGCTCAGAATAAGGAGCAACCTAATGGTCCAGAAAGATGTGTGTATAAAGTCCCCTATATACAGAGATGTCCATGATTCCCCTTTGTAGCCTAAAAAAACCCCTGGCCTGCCTGCTTCGCCTCACTGTTGACTGGTACTGGCTTGTGTTTTTTTTTTCAGGCCATGTTCCAGAGAAAGAGAAGTGCAGATTACCACTCTTCTCTATCAAGAGTAGTCAGGGCCCCTCTGGAAAGAACACAGCCAGGTGCTAAGCAAGTGTCAGCCAAGACGACCCTCTGGAACGCACTGCATCTCTTTCTAGTCTCTTTTCCCAAGCTGGTGGTCAGCTTCTCTACTCAGCCTCCAGCCCCAATGTAGATGTCACCTGGGAAAGTATTCTGTAAACTGAGACGTACAAGGCAAGGCATTGCTGTTGGGAGCGTCTAGGTTGGAAATGAAGCATGAAATGCTAGACACTGGCACTAGGGATGTGTGGAATGGGGAGGAGGGATCACCTACGTAGGGTAGTTCACTCCAGAAATGGTGACTGTCAGAGTCCCCTATGGGAGTCCTGACACTCTGAAGTTGTGCATCCAGTTCCTGGTTTATTACATGTTCTTGGTTCTTCACATCTGTGTCTGGGAACCAAAACCCTGCTTGCTGTTCTTTGTTACCAGGTGCACAATGTGGTGTCTGAGAAGGTGGTCATGGCATACACCTTCCTCTGTACACACACACACACACACACATCATTGTGTCTGAAAAGGTAGCCATGGGATGCATCTTCCTCTCTCCAGAGAGAGATAGAGAGAGAAAGAAAGAAAAAGAGAGAGAGAGCACGCATCTACCTCTGTCCAGACAGCCAGTCATGCAGAAGGAAGTGAGATGCATATGTGCGTGCACACATGCACACACACACACACACACACACACACACACACACACACACACACACACAGCCTATGGCCCGAAGGTAAGTCCCTGGCAGAAGCAACTAGACAGTCAGGCCTCTGTTGCACCTAGCCTAGAAAGAGATAAGGGCAAAGATGGGATGGAAAACTATGACACACCTGCAGCTACATATGTCTGAAGCATCCAAAAGTGGTGCTTCTTAGTTGATTCAATTCCCAGGGGCAAAAAGATGACCTTCTTACCAGACCAAACACCATAACCCAGCAGAGGAGTGTCTTGTGACTACCCCCTCCACTATCCTATAAGGCCAGGACGAGTTTCTGTGTCCTATGCTGCTCTTGGCCTGTCACGGGCATTTGTCTCTGGGCCTCTTGACAAATATGGTCCCTTGCATAATGACTTCACCAGTTCTGGTCACCTAAACTGAACACCCTCAAGAAGAGAGCCATTATATCTACGCCCATTCACCCAAAATGTCAACTTCAGGTCAAGTTCTAACCTTGACCTTCTGTGCGTGGCAGCCTGCCACCCACACCCTTGCTGTCAGGCTCTGGAACATATGTAGGGGATGCTAAAAAAGCACCATGGCAGTGGTATCCCAGAGTCCGCTTGAGCTGCCTTCCCTCCCAGAGCAGGAGAATGAGGGGCCTCCACTCCCACTGTTCCCTACCCTGAGGAGCTCACTGCCTCATCCCTCTCCACAAGCCAGCCAGCCAGCTGGGCAGGCAGCATCTGAAAAATATGGGTTTTAATTCAATTTCCTGAGATGAGGGATTGAGGGAGATGGATGCCAGGCCACCCTACCCAGCATTCATCTCTCCTGGGCAGCCGTTCCTTCCGTGACTCTAGCCCAGCCCTGGCGCCACTCAGACAGAAGCTGCACCTCCCAGAACACAGGTGTCTCATGGCAGGGAGCTCGCATTTCTGGCCCGCTCTCCCTTTGGAGACCCCAGGTTGCTCTGGCTTCCTGGCACTTGCTGGTGGAGAAATGACCCTTCTTAACTCTTCTCCACAGAATCTCTTCAGAAGCTTTGAAAGAAACACCCCTGCCCGGGGCCTCACCACCACAGATAATTAAATAATTGGCCTGTGGAGAGGCTTGGGTAGGAGTGTTTTTTGAAAGCTCCCTAGGGTCTCTTAACATTCAACCAGAGTGCTCTAGAGCACTATGAGAAGCCCTCCCCACGCCTGTGTGCCAGCCTCTCAAGGTGGTCTACTCAATACCACCACAACAGGGACCTTGAGGACCTGGTCCCCACATCTTTGGATACCCTGAAAAACAAGGAAATGTATGTTAGTTCTCTGTCTAGAACCGTGCTATGCAGACTGTGGTCCTGTGGTACTTGAAATCCTTTGAGATATCTCGGCAGCTACCTGGAGTCAAGGAGGATGGAGGGTCATCTTCAGAGGCACCTGGCACCCCTCACTAGGCTTAAGTTCTCTCTGTCCCCCTCCCATCCATCCCAGAGCCCAGCAGTGGATACAGATGAGTGAAGCAAGGGCTGGTTGGAATTAGGGGCAGGTGGGATCCAGGGGCAAGAGATCTGGAGCTCTCACTCCTAAAGCTCAGAATTAGAAAGGATGCTTCAGTTCCAGGACGTTACAGTTGCTGGCAGAGCAGGTCTCAGAGCTACTGGCCCCGGGCCTCCCCAGCTCTTGGATAAGAACATATGTGCCTAGGAAGTTGGAAAGTATGGGTGTTAGGGTGGACTAGATGAGAGAGATAATTCTTTGAAGCCCAGAGGAAAAGCAAGAGACCTGTATGCAGATCTTCAGCTCTTTGCACTGTGTATACAGATAGGCAAATACACTGCCCTGCTCAGATATACACAGGCAAATATACATACTCATTGCACCTTCTGGTACAGCCTGCATCCCCAGGGGTGTGGCCACAGACGAAGCCAGTGGGTGGTCCCACACACAGATTCGTGCTGTGAATCTGCAGCTTCTCCTCTGGGATAGAGATATTCCCTCCCGAGGGATCTCAGGCAGACAGCAGGGCCTGTCTGCAGAGGCATAGCTTCATCACTCTTAGGCAGTTCTTGTCAGAGAGTGAGTGACATTTCCCATTCACCTTCTGTAGTGCCTTCCCCAGGGAGTCAGCTGGTTACTCATGGGAACCAAGTGTTCTGAGAGCCCAGAGTTGGTGGAGAATGAAATATTTCTATTCTCACACCATCTCCTCTCTCTCCATAGGATTCTTCTCTTATCCTTCCATCCCCGGCTGTTTTCTTCACATCTGGAGTTTGGGCGTAGCCTCTTCAGTTGTAGAAAAAACCCTTCCAGTCTAGACTACAAAATGACCACATATGTATTTAAAGGGCACTTTGCACATACCCCACCCTTAGCTAGGAGCAGGTCTGCTATCTCTGACCTGCTCTAGGTTCCGTCATGATGTGTTTGTGCATCACCCCTGTCTGCTCCCTTCTTGCCGGTACCATGGTCAAAACCAGTTTCCGCTTGCTGCTCCTGCAGCTTCCTAGAGTCTGTCTTGACTGCTTTAAAAATGACAGTATGCCCCAGCCCTACACCAGCCCTAGCTCTAATAAAGGACCTCGGCAGGCAGGCACAGAGGTGTGGAAATTGCAGATAATTCATGTGGGAGGAGGCAGGCTGCATGAGGCATGAATACAGCTGTTCCCAGAAAAAGCAGTTCAGAATAATGCAAGGCCTGTGACAGCCTTAGACCTGAGTTGGTGTCATGCAAATGATGCTGATAATTATATTAAAAGTAGGGCAAATAGAAGGTTATTTGATGACCAACTTTGGGAACAGTTTGGCGGATGTTAAAATAATTCTTTGCTGTGTGGCAGATGGAAGAACTGTGTGTAAGAAATTCACAAGGTGGGCTGGAGAGATAGCTCAGCGGTTAAGAGCATTGCCTGCTCTTCCAAAGGTCCTGAGTTCAATTCCCAGCAACCGCATGGTGGCTCATAACCATCTGTAATGAGGTCTGGTGCTCTCTTCTGG